TCCGGCAGCGCCGCCACCACCCCCCCCGCGCCGCGCGCCGCGCTTAAAGGGGCGATGGCGGCGGGGGGAGGCGGTGGGGACCGCGCTGGGGAGGAGCGGGGTGGCCGCGGGCAGGGGGACACGGGGGACACGGGGGACACGGGGGACGCGAGGAGAGGGCGAGGAGGGTCACGGCAGCGACGGGGTGGACACGAGGGGCACAGAGGAACGCGGATGTGACGGGGTGGACGCGCACCCGAGGGGTGGGCGCGGGGGACGCGGGGACACGGAGGAGAGGAGCGGGCACGGACACGGGGGACACGCGCGAGGGGGTGGGCATGGAGGGACAAGGACACGAGGGGGGTGGGCGCACAGGGACGGGGACACACGGGGCATCATGGACACGAGGGGGTGAGTTAAAGGGGCAGTGACACGAGGGGACACGGACAAGGTGCTCACGGAGGGACACGAGGGGGTGGACACGGACACGGCGGGYACAGGGGGTGGACATGTGGCAGGGTGGACACGGACGCGAGGTGGTGGCATTGGAGGGACACGGACACGAAAGGGTGGACGCGGACATGAAGGGGTGGACATGGGAGGGGGGACACGGGGGGACACGGGGGACACAGAGGGACACGGATGTGACAGGGTGGACACGGAGGCGATGGGGTGGACTTAAAGGGGCAGCGACACGAGAGGATGGAAACAGGATTGTCATGGAGGGACGGGGATTTGAGAGGAGGGGGTGAACACAGACACAGAGGGACACGGGGGTGTCACAGCGGGGACAGACACGGACACGACGGAGCGGACACATGCAGGGGGTTGGCACCTATGGACACGGGGGGACACGGACACGAGGGGGACACACGGACAGGGAAGCGAGAGGCGGTCACGGAGGGACTCGGACACCAGGGGGCGGCCACGGACACGGAGGGGACACCGGGATGGGGACACCGGGATGGGGACACCGGGATGGGGACACCAACCCTGCCAGGGGACACAGACACGGGGGGGTCCCTGTGCTGCCGGGGGTGGTTCACACACGTGGGCGATGTGTGAACCCCCAGCACACGCGTGTGCAAACGTGCAGCGCCACACGCGTGGGTGTCCCCGTGTGTGTCCCCCACCCTCGGGTGCTCCCGTGGTCACCGGGACGCTCTGGCGGTGTCGGGGGGACACTCAGCACCCCAGGAAAGGACCGGGGGGTCCGGAGAGAGGCAGGGGGTGCTGATTTGGGGTGCTGCCCCCTGCCCCCCCGGGCCGGYTACGCCCTGACAGGGTGACACGGGACAGCCGGACCCGCCCGTTCCTCTTCCCCACACCARGCAGCGGCGGCCGGAGCGCAGGCGAGTCAGGGTGCCGTGGTTTTGGGGTGGGGGCGACGAGAGGAAATGCCCTGCTGGGACCCCCAGGAGCTGCCCGGCCCTGGCAGAGCGGGACTGGGGTGGGGGCCGCACTGGGCTGCACTGGTTTGCACTGGGAGSGGGCTCCGGTGGGCACGGGGGTCCTGATTCCCGTTTCCCACGCAGGCTCCGGGTGCAGTGGAGGGACCATGGGGGTCCCTGCGGCCCCGCTGCTGCTGCTGCTGCTGCTSCCSGTGACCTCCGCGACCCCCGCGCCCACCACATTCCCCTGTCCGGCCCTGCAGCCGGACTCTTCCCATGACCTGGACCTGACCAACAGGAGCCGCGGATGTGCCGAGCTGGACTGGGGCCGGTTCCAGCGGCAGCGCCGGGTGGTGCTGAGGCACAACGGCATCGAAGCGCTGAGCCCCGGCTCCCGCCTCGGCCCGGCCACGGAGGAGCTGGACCTGGCGGAGAATCGGCTCCGGGAGCTGCCCCGGGGCTTTTTCGCCAACGCCTCTGCCCTGCGGACCCTGAGGTTGGAGGGGAACCCTCTCCCCTCCGTGCCCCCCGCCGCTTTCCAGCCCTCCCTGAGCTCCCTGTCCATGTCGTGCCGCTGCGACCTGCTGGCCACCGTGCTGGCCCCCTGCGCTCGCCCGGGCATCCGCTGCCTCTGCCTCACGGGCCACGGGCGATCCTTCAACGTGACGGAGTTCCAGGGGCGGCAGTGCGGGCTCAGCGTGGCGCTGGTGGCCGGGGTGGCCGGGGCGGTGGCCGCGGTGGCCGTGCTGGTGGCCGTGCTGGTGGCCGTGCTGGTGCAGCGGCGGCGGAGAGCGGTGGCCGCGGTGGCCGGAGTGGGCTGGGGGAAGCAGGACACGGCCGGAGGCATCCGGCAGCCCCGCTACGTCAGCCGGGACACCGGGATCGGCACCGCCGATGGCACCGATGGCACCGATGATGGCACCGATGGCAACGACGCCCCCGACTACGAGAATGTCTTTGTGAGCCCCGGCACGGCCCCGGCCGCCGGGAGGGGATGGACACCGGGGTGGCAGCAGCAGCGGTGCAGGTGAGGCTCCGGTACCGGGAACGGACATTCCGGGCGTGTCCCACCCTCTCCCTGCTCTGCTGTGCCCGGGTGTGCTGTCCCATCCCATCCCATCCCATCCCATCCCATCCCATCCCATCCCATCCCATCCCATCCCATCCCACTCCATCCCATTGATCCCACCCCACTCCTCATTCCCTCCTCACGGATCCCTCTCTGTCCCCTCTGTCCCCAGCCCCCCGCTCCCCATGGATGAGGATTATTTCCTGGGCAGCGCGGCCGATGCCGGGGATCAGCCCATCTACGCCAACACCCTGGGCCGCACCGAGGATCTCTACATCGTTCCGGACCAGTGAGGGGCTGGGGGACACCGGGAGGGTTGGGTGACACCGGGAGGGCCGGGGGGACCCGCTCTGTCCCCTCTGATGCCCTTTCTCCGCTGTCCCCTGCTCAGAGGGGTCAGGGCTGGACATCCCCGCACGGGGAACGCCCCTGCTGGGGGATGGGGTTTGACACCTCCGGCCCCATCCCCTCCTTCGCCCCGTTCTCACCCCGGCCCCGGGGCTGAGCTGTCGTTCGGTCCCGGCGCTGCGGCCGCCGACAGCGGGGACACCTCGGGCCGCATCCGCCGGCAGCGGCACCGGAGCTTTCCGGGCCACCGGGGCCCCCCGGGACCGGCTGGAGGAGCCGGGGCTGGCGCTGACCACGGCCTGGGTTCCTCTTCCCCTTTCGGGGCCGGTGGGGAGCGGGTGCGGGACATCCGGTGCCACCTGCGCCCKCTTTTCCTGCGAAATCCGCCGCTTTGGGGAACAAAGGGAAAGTTCCTTTTTTAATCCTCCCGGAGGTTGGGCACCGCGGGGACACGGGGACAGCGTGGATTGTCTGGGTGTCCCCCCAGCCCCTGGGACACGGGGACAGCGTGGATTGTCTGGGTGTCCCCCCAGCCCCTGGGACACGGGGACAGCGTGGATTGTCTGGGTGTCTCCCCCAGCCCTTGGGAGGCTTCTCCATGCCCCATTAAATGGTTTAATTATCTCTAATTAAAGAAGGGAGCCCTGGGGAGCTCCCAGTGCCTCTGTCCCCAAAGCAGGGGGTCCCAAGGGACCCTCAAGGACTTGTCCCCAAAGCCTTTGGGGTCCCAAGAACCCTCCAGTCCCTGTCCCCAGAGTGGCCACCTCCATCTCCTGCATCCCTCAATTGCTGCTCCCCAAATCCCCCACCCCAAAACAAGGATCCCAAATTCCACATCCCCCAAACCCAGCCCCCACCAGGAGCTGGGGAGGGGCCGGACAGCCCAGGACACCCCCAAATCACCCTGGAGCAGGGGACAGAGAGGAGCTGTGAGCAGCCATGGGGTGTCCCTCGGGGACCCGCGGGTGCCACCACCCTCTGAGTGGGGTCCCCACCCTTTGGGTGCCCAGGGGGTCCCCCGGAGGCTCCTGGGGAAGGGGCAGTGGCCACGTCCCGGGGGTCAGGGCTGTGCCCGGGCCCTCCCCAAGGACACTCACGACTCAAAGGTCCCTGGGAGCTGTGCCCAGCCATTACTCACACCCTGGCACGGAAAAACCACGAGGATTTACCAGCAAATCTGCACGGAGCCACATCCCAGAGGAGCTGAGGGTCCGCTCAGAGAACCCCCCAAACTGGGCAGGAGGAGCAGCCAGAACCTCTGTTATAATCACTTTATTAATTTCYATGATTATCACATCTTTCCTGTTTTATAGAAATATATAAAATAGAAATGTGCAAAACCCCTCCCTCTTTCCCCAAGAAAAAAGGATAATTTGCTATAAAATACAATAAGTTAGAAATAAATAACTGGGTTCTGTAAATAAGTCTCTGAGCAAAGAAAAGGGTTTGGAGTGGGGTGTGGGCAGGAAGGATCCACCTGCTCGATAAAATGGGGATTTAAATAAGAGAAAAAATGGGGGAATAAGTTATTGTGGGGGAGAATTCATAACTGAACTGGGGATCAGAGCCGGGTCTGGGGTGGAGTTGTTCGGTGCCACAGGATCGGGATTTTGGGGGTGGATCCGGGGTTGGCGTGGAGTCATTTGGTGTTACAGGATGGGGATTTTGGGATGCTGATTCCAGATAGGTGAGGCTGAGCTCGGGGGTGGATTTAGGGTTGGTGTGGAGTCATTCGGTGTTACAGGATTGGGATTTTGGGATGCTGATTCCAGATAGGTCAGGCTGAGCTCGGGGTTGGATCCAGGCTTGGTGTGGAGTCACTCGGTGCCATGGGATCGGGATTTCGGGGGTGGATCCAGGGTTGGTGCAGAGTCACTCGGTATTACAGGATTGGGATTTTGGGATGCTGGAGCCGCGAGGGATCAGCCTGGCCCTGCCCCACCCTGCCGGGCTCGGAGCCGCCCTCAGGCGCAGTGACAGCGGGTGACCAGCATGTCCTCGAAGAGGCTGGACACCAGGCTGCCCTCGCTGTCGTAGTGCATCAGCACCATGGGGTCGTAGGCGGCGGGGACGCAGCAGGGCGGGGGCGCGGCCTTGGACAGGGAATGCACCCGGGACTGGATCTGGGCGTGCATGCTGGCGGCTTTGTAATTGTGCGGGCAGGAGCCCTCGCAGAAGCGCATGTAGTAACTGTTGGGGGCGATCACCCAGTCGGCCCAGCCGATGTCCTGGAAGGAAACTTTCAGCGACTTCAGGCAGCACTTCCCGTCGCTCTTCCCGCACTCCTCCTCCAGCCCCCGCGCTCTCCTGGCCGCCCGCTCCGGTTTCTCCTCCGTTTCCACCTCCAGCACCGGCGTTTCCTCGCCGGGGGCGGTCAGAGCGGCCGAGATGTTTGCGGTAAAGTCGAGCTGCAGGCGCAGCGTGGCCTCGGGCCCGGCCAGCCAGCGCCGCACGGCTCCGGTCAGCTCCAGGCTCCGGCAATCCCGGGACAGCTCTTGGCTGCGCAGGAACCGGGAGGTGCCATCGGGGCCCCGCAGGGTGTGGATGGTGACCCGCGGTGGCACTGAGTTACCGGGCAGYGACAGCGACAGCGACAGYKWCAGYTCCGCCCGCAGCACCCGCAGCCGCCGGTGRAAATCCTCGGTGCGGGACAGCAGCAATTGATAGCGGTGCGAACCGAGGGCGTCCCGGTGTCCTTGAGAGTCCTGCTGGCCCTCGGGGATGTCCGGCTGGAGCAGCACTGCGGGGACAGAGGGGACAGATGATGTGAGGGGCGGCAATTCCCCACCAGCCCGAGCTGCGGGTCCGCTCCAGGATCCGTTCAGGCAGCCAAGGCGTCGCTTCCAGGGAATCACCCGCACCTCGAGGGATGCTGGAGASCCGGCCCTGTCCTCATCCTCAGATCCATCATCTCCCGGGACCCCAGGAGGGAGGGTCTCYGTTTTCCTGGGTGTCCCAGGACCCMCACCCCACACCCCGACTGTCCCYTCCCAGCCCAAGCAGCAGGAGGGGAATATTCCCCTAAATCCCTAAATATTTCCCTAAACTCCCCCAGAAAAGCCACCAAACTGAAGCTGAAGCTGGAGATCGAGGGACAGCACCTCCCTTCATCCCCTCCGCTCACCCCAGAACCCACTCGGAGCCCCCCGAGCTGCCGCTGATCGAAGCTTTCACCCCAAATCCCCACATTTCTTATGTTCTCAAGCAAAAACGGCTCCAGCGGCGGCTCCTCCCCGCTTGCAGGGCAGAGGAAGCAGCRGACGAGGATGACAGCGGCCACCGTGCTGCATGTCCGGTCATGTCCCGAGGCMGCGGGGTGACATTCCCGAGCTCGGGACACCGCGGGACACGCGGGGACACGAGGCTGTGGGGTGACACGGAGCCACGGCCACTTACAGGTGGGGGTCAGGCGGTGCAGCCGCCGCGTCCTGGGCACGGCTTCCTCCTCTTCCTCCTCTTCCTCCTCCTCCTGGCGGCTCCGGTTCGCCGCCAGCTCGGCCACTTTGAGCTGGTAGAGCCGCTGCGCTCTCTGGATGCTCTCCCGGTCCAGCTGGCGCCGGATGACGGGGGGAGCGGGCATCCCCAGCCGCTCCAGGATCTCCTTTTTGACGGCTTCCAGCTGGAACCTGTCCTGGTCCCACGTGTGGGGCCGGCAAGCGGCGCGGGACAGGAGCAGCAGGARCGGGAGGCAGGTGAGGGCGGCTCTCCTCAGCATCCTGCAGAAACGCGGCTCTCCCAGGGCACGATTTGCTCCAAATTCTGGATGTGCTGCTGCCGGCGGTGCTGCCAGGGGAATGAATGAAGAGGAGCAGACCTGGCTTTATAGGAGCCGAACTTTGCCCGCCCTCCGTCCCCCCTCCCCGGCTGCTGACGCCGGAGAGCGCTTCCAGCAGGAATTTCTCCTCTCCGCCTGGGGTTTCCAGCAGCAGCGCCGGAGCCGGGTGATTTACAGGCTGTTCCGCAGCTGCGGAGATAAAAAACGGGGAATACTCTTCCTCAGACACAAACATTTCCCTTCCGCCTGCCGTTTTCCCCATGGATGGAGCGGCTCAGGGAATCCCTCTCACCCCCCAGCAGCCGGCGGTGGCGGAGCGGGTGATGGAGAGGGGATGATGCTCCAGGCAGGCAGCGCTCCGAGCGTGGATTTTCCATCTTTGCATCCTCAGCCACCTCCCGGGGCCGAGCCGAGAGAGCCGCAGCCCCTTCCCAACATCCCAAAATCCCCAAATCCCCAAATCCCCAAATCAATCCCGAAATGCCGGCGGGGCAGGGATGGGGCCGCGCTCGTGCCGGACGCGTGGCCGGAGCGGGGATCGGTGCCGGACCTTGGTCCCCGCCCGGGAACGGTCCCGATCTTTCTGAAGCAACCGCGGCCGGGGTTACGTCACCCCAAACGGAGGCAGCCGGGACGGAGCCGGGCACGCCGGGTGGCACCGGGCCAGCGGGGACACGTGTGCCGGGCAGCGCCGCGCCACCGCGGGGATGGGCAGCAGGAAATCCCGAGCGGGAACGGGCCAGCACGGAACCACCCCTGTCCCAGCGTCCCCACAGGGATGCTCGGGCCGAAAACACGAGAGCGGAGGGGTGAGAAGATCCCGGGAGCGTGAGGAAACGGACGGGTCCCCCCGGGGCAGGCGAGGCCATTCCCAAAATGTGCTGAAGTTGRTCCAAGCGCCCGGTGCTCGGCTGCGCTCCCGGCGGGGATGGACGGGCGCTAATCCCGTGATTTACGGCTGTTTATCCCCCGATCCTGATCGGGACGCGGCTCCAGCCCTGCTCCGACTTTTCTCACCCGGGTTCTCAAGGGGTTGCCTGAGGCAAAGCCGGGACCGAATGTTTCACCCTAAAACACGGGAAAGGAGGTGTTTGTCAGGGTGAGAGGAACCAGGCGGAGGGGATGGCCCCACCCAGACCCTCTCCCCATTTTCYTGCTTTTCCCTTCCCAGAGCATCCGGCTTGGAAGGAAATCCTTGTGTGACTCACAAGGAAACTCAGGTTTATCTCCAGGTGGATCCCACGTGGATCCGGGCAGCACGAGTGGAACTATCCCATCCTTCCGGCAGCTGGGCAGGGATGAACTCCCCTCCTGGAGCTCCCACAGGGAATTCCTGGAGCTCCCACAGGGAATTCCCAGAGCTCCGAGCCCGCTGTGATCCCGCTCCCCGCGGTTTTGTCATCTGCGGTGACCGCAGCGCTCCAGCCCCGCAATCCAAGGGAGAAAAGAGGGGGAGCAGAACCGCCCCACCATTCCCCCCGCTCCGGTCATCTCCGTGCCCGTGGCAAACGCCAGCCCAGCCCGCAGCCCCCTCCGCCATCCCCYCGGTGCCAAATGTGCTGATCCGGAGCTGAACCGGAGCCCTCGGCACGTCCGGGAGCGGGAAGGGGCCCCGACCTCGCTGACCACGTTGAGCAAGACCCGTCAGAAACCCCGAAATCGCCAAGTTCTGCTTTTGCAATGGATTTTCTGCCCGTGGGCGCGAACCCCGTGCGGGAGTGACGCACTCCGGGAGCATCAAAGTTTGCCGGGGCCGGATGTTTTCCCCCGTGAAAGGCGCCAGCCGTGGAAGCCGCAGATTTACARCCCGGCAGGAGCCATAAAAGAGGGATTTTGGGAGCAGGGGTTGGAATCCCGAGCGATGCGATGCGATGCGATGATGAAATGTCGAAGCGTGTCCTCACCAGCCCGCACCGGGGGATCGCGCAGCCCCCGCATCCCGCGGTTCCTCCGCTCTTCCCGGACATATTTGATCGGAAATCAAATTTATCCTTTTCCCAGCGGGATGAAAGCTCCTCTCCATTTAACTCATCCCACGAGGATCCCTCATCCCGGTGTGGATCTAAAGCTGGGATTGCTGTCCCCARGGACCGCGGAGCAGCCGAGATGCGCTCRGGGTGTSCAGGAAGRTGCTGGGATGTCCAGGAAAAGCTCAGATCGTGCGCTGAGGAGCCTGGAGAGGTGTGGGAGTGTCCAAGGCCGGGCTGGGTGGGGTTTGGAGCAYCCTGGGGCCGTGGAAAGTGTCCCTGCTCATGGTTAGGGGTGGRACGGGATGGGCTGTGAGCACCTTCCGTGATTCCAAATCAATGTTTTTCCCTTCTCCAGACTCTCATGGTTRTCAGGAACATGATCAAGACACAGATCAGGGGGCTCCAGAGAGCTCAAATTCCCCAAAAAAGCAGGAAATTCCCTCAACTGCAGAGGCAGCAGAAACCCCGGGGTTTTTTTGGTTTGTTTTCTTTTTGCAGAGTTCCTTATCACAAACCGTGAGAGGGGGAAGTGCTGCCCTCCAGATTTTYGGGCTATCAGTTCCTGGCATCTGCTGAGCCAGAGACCCCAAAAAAAGCACCCAGAGACCTCTGGGAACGCGTGGGTGTCACCCTGGGGGGGGTGACAGAGCGGGATCAGGTGCTCCCCACAYCCTACAGGATCCCAATGCTCCCCAAAACCACCGGGGCTGAGTGAGCTGGGTGCTGCAGGGGGAAAATTCCCTGGAAAAAAAAAAAAAAAGGGAATTTGGGCTTTCCCATCGATAAGGGAAGGATAAGGAGGGAAGGAAAAGAAGGGAAGGATAAGAAAGGAAGGAAAAGAAGGGAAGGATAGGAAAGGAAGAATAAGAAGGGAAGGATAAGAAAGGAAGGAGAGTAAGGGAAGGAAAAGAAGGGAAGGATAAGAAGGGGAGAATAGAAAGGGAAGGATAAGAAGGAAAGGATAAGAAAGGAAGGAAAAGAAGGGACGGATAAGAAGGGATGGGTAAAAAAGGAAGAGCAGCCCGGCTGCTGCCACCACACGAAGCTCAGCCTCAAGGGAAGCTGGAGCTGGAAGACCTCTGGCACTTCCAAGAATAATTCAGGCTGGGAAAACCCCCCGGAGAAGCGGCAGAAGCCAGGTGGGCACATCCAAAGCAGGGTTTGCTCCATCCCGTCTCGTTTGAGGTGCGGAAAGGGGCGCGGAGGGACGGGAGGAAGGGCTGTCCCTGCTCCGGGATCTTTGGGAAGCCGCGTCCCGTGTTTTCCCAGCGCTGGCCGCTGTCATGATGAATCGGCAGAGTGGAAACCGCGCTGACCTTTGGATGTTTCTAAATCAAAGGCGACCAGGACGGGTCAGGCGAGCCAAAAGCGGCTTTTGCCCCGTCACAGCGGGAATCGCATTTTTTCTCCCTCTGCCGCGAGTTTACGGCATCTCCCAAAAATGAGACTTCTGCTCCACTTGGACAAAGGCATTCCTGCCTCGGCTKCAGGATTAACTCGGGTTCCCAGCCCCCTCGGCCCGGGAAGGGCAGGAAATGCCTCTGATCTGCCACCAAAAATGGAAATCACCCCACAAACACTTTCATCCCCGGCACCGGGGTGTTCTCTGTTCCCCAGGAGCGTCTTTACCCGATGGGATCCCCGGACAGGCATTTCCAGGTGGGGTCTGTGCTGRGCTGGGGATGATTTTCAGTCTGCAGACATCGAATGAAATCCTTTGAGAGCATCACTGAGTTGGATTTCCCGATCCTCGTGGGTCCCTTCCAGCTCGGGATATTCAGGATGAGGATATTCGGGATCATCAGTGGGATTGATGTGAGGAGGATATTCAGGATCATMAGTGGGATTGATGTGATGGCTGTTGAGGAGTGGCTTTAAAATGCAGTTTTTCCATGATGGGAGCACTTTTCTGTTCGATCTCACCCTTCCAAGGTGCCAAAACAGCCTTTTTCCCCAATTTTTGTGTCGATCCAGGCCAAGACTTTTGGGAGCACTGCGATCCCACGGGATCCCGAGGGAGCCAGATGAGCTCTGASTCCTTCCACCAATCCTTCCAACACYGAGCAAGGGGGAAAAACGGATGGAGGGAACCAAATCTGATCTGGGAACATCCCAGAGCAGCACCCCTTTTACCGAGGAAACCCTTAGGGCACGAAAAAAGGGAAGGATGACCCAGAAATCTCCTTAAAAGTGTAGGATTTGAAGGGTCTGGATGCTTTAAATGATGGGGAAAACAGATGAAGGAACCCAAATCCAACCAAGCACATCCCAGAGCAGCGTCCCTTTAATCAGGGAAGGTGCTACAGGAGTAGGACAACCCCAAAACCTCCTTAAAACTGTGGGGTTTTAGAATGTGGACAATTTTTGAAGCACAAGGCACAATTCAGGATGAAGAATGAGGATGGAGCTGCTGGAGAATTCAGGGAAGTTGCAGGAATTGTGACCTCCAGCAGAAATAAACGCATTTATTCGCGAACCCGGGGCTCCACGTGCCCGTCAGGAGGGAATTAGTCACCGGAGCGTGACTCGGGAAGGGGCCGTGTCCACAGGGCACGGAGCTGCTCCCGCACCGAGCATCCCCGGCAGCGGGAAGCAGCTGCAGAAAAAAAACAGAGCCGAGATTTCCCCCCAGGCTGCGAACCGGCCGAGAAAATCCCACCCCGCGGCTGAAATCGGTGGGGAATGTCCACCTGCATCTCCTGGGCAGCGAGGAAAACCACGGGGAGAGCCCCGGAATGGGGAAATGCGCGGCCAGAGCATCACCGGGAGCTCGTCCTGGGGATTCTCCGCTGTGCCCATCCCGCGGTGAGAGCGGTGAATCCCGAACTGGGACGTTCCCCGCACATCCCGGGATGTGTCCGMGCACGCCTCGCCACCCAAAGCAGCCCGGGCCGCTCGGAGCCGCCGGGAAATCAGGAAATTCCAGGCATTCCCTCGATTTGGAGCCGCAGCTGCGGGAGCCCTGGGGCAGCACCTCGGCCGGGGCTCGGCTCCGATCTGCGAGCTGAGAGAATGGAGCGGCTGCCAGATGGAYGCTGCCCAAAAATCCCACCTCGTTTGGGAAGGGCTCGGAGGAGGAGAGAATGGGAGGAGGACAAGAAAGAATTAAAATCCAGTCCGCCAAAAGGATCCCCGTGAATCTCTGGGTGTTCACCGAGGAATCCAAGCGGGATTCTCCATCGGGAGCCTCCTGAGCGCGGCCCAAACCTCGGATCTGCCCCTCGGGAGGGCTCTGTTTGTAAAATGACCTCAGCGGCACATGACTGACCCGAGGCATGACATCAGCCCGGGAACGCCGCAGGAAAAGCTTCTCACCTTATAAAGGGAATGGAAAGGGAGTGAAGTCATCGGGGCTGGGCTCAAATCCCCGCTCACCTGCGAGGGAGATCCCAAAGCTCCCGGTGCCCGGCGGGTGCCGGGTGTTGGTGGGCGGAAGAAAAGCTTCATCTCCAAGGAAAGGCTGGAGAGCTCAGCAGGATCTCCATGGCAGCTCAGGGAAAAAAAAAAAAAAAAAAAAATCACCGACATTTCTAGAATTAGGGCATTAAAAAGGAAAAGCAGGGATTCCAGAGGAACAGGGAGGTTTTCCTTTCTGATCCTTGGCGCAGGAATTGCCTGGTTTGGTCTGGGTTTTAAC